CAAGGGCCTGGATTCAATTCCCTGTATCAAAACAAAACAAAACAAAATAAAAAACACAGTCATCTCAAGGTGAGTTGAAGGTGACTACCATGGGACATTTCCCACAGGGCTGCTGGGCCCTGGAGAGCTGGGTCTATGTCTCAGACCTCTTCATCAGCTCTATAGTTCCCGGGCTGGGATGTATAGTTCCCAAGATGTGCTGGGCACAGAGTCTCGGCTTCTCAGAGTGTGATCCACTCTGAGAATGCAATGCAAGATGTCTCCTCTCTGCCCCAGAACTGCATCCCAGTGTGAGCCCAGGGGCTCCCTACACTTGTGCAGGTTTGAGAACACTGCTGAGGAGGTCACCTCATCATGCCCTGGCCACACCAGTGAGGAAACCGTGCACTTAAGCAAAGTAACCCATGTTTCACCTCAGGTCACCCAGCTGATCAAGTGGGAGGAAGACAAGAACCCTGTCTCCTGCAACTCAGGCCRCTGGCCCTGGGGACCCAGAGGAACATCAGGAGAGAGGGACTCCCACAGTACCATGACAGTCAGACCATAGACGTCGTGGGTTCTGGCTGGCACCCATGTCCAAACAGACTGCTGGGAGGAAGAAGAGTCACCATGTGGTACCAAAGGCATTAAGCCAAAGCCAAGGAAGCATGCTTACCTAACTGGCTATGAAGAACTGAAGTCAGGCACTTTCCAGTGATGAGATGTGCTCCAATCACCAAACTCAAGGCAGAGAGATCAGCCAGGAAAAGGAGGAAGGGAAGCCAAAAAGCTCATTTGCTGTAATGAATTGACTAGAAAAGTTCAAAATCCCACCATTTATCATTTGACTAAGTTGAAGGAACCATAAAATCTCATGACTGGAATGTAGCTGAAAAGTTATTTGCTGTAACAATTCATCAGACTCTGCTCCCTAAGATCCCAGTGAGAAGCTGCCTGGCCTCCAGGGCCACCCTCCAGGAGTGGGCCTGCTAGCCTCAGTCCTGTCGGCAGAAACCCCTCAAAACATTGGCTCACTTGAACTCAGCAATTTGAGTTCAAGGAGTAAATCCCAGACATGGGAAAAGCTGGGTGCACAAAGCTGGGTGCATCTGTTCTTATGGTGGAACAGATGATAAAGCTAACCTTGGTAGTGTTCTTGGCGATCATAGAGAAATGACAGCACACCCCTGATTGAAGAACAGTTTTCCACCATCTAAAAAGACATTCTCAGAGTATTTGGTTTCTGCCAGGATACACCAAACAGGTTACGTCTAGGATTTCCACCTTGTCAAGCATTCCTAGTAACCAACAGGATGACAAGTGTCAGAACCAAGTCTCTCCTTACCAAGCGTCAGCCAGAGGGTAAATACTTTTGGCTCTGAAGGCCCTGTGGTCTCAGCTCTGCTCTTGGACTGTGAGGGCAGGACAGAATGGTACATAAGTGAACGGCTATGTGTTCCAATAAAACATCATTTATAAAAACAGGTAGCAAGCTGGATTTAGCTTTGGGCTGCATTTTTCTGACCCCTGATCTCTATGCTCACATTTATTAGTTTTAAATGCAAAGAGTTTTGAAATATTCTACATATCCAACATAAATGACTTAGTAAGTCATTAATGTATTCATGCATCTGCTGCATTCTCTCGACAGATCTACCAAGTGCCTACCAGACACTGTTGAGTTTTGGGGCTAAGGCGGGGGCAAGACAAGAAGGCATATGGAGTCAAAGGAATATCACCAAAGCTTTTATAAGAGTTCATAATAACAAGAAAAACCCTTATAACCTATGTGAAAAGCAAAATCTGGAGTTGTGTATAAAAATAAGGCCAGTGTTTTTAAACTAAAAAATAAAACCACAGGGGGAAAAAATAATGAAAAAAACTACATCAAAATGCCGCTAGCTGCTCCCCTTGGGCTGGTGCACTGCCTCTCCTTTCCCGGGTTTCCCTTTCATTACATGGCTGTCTCCACTTTATAACAAACACCACTCCCTGTTGTATCTGGAAGGGGTTGTTGCTTTTCTTAAGTTAAGGCTGTGTCCCTGCTGCCAGGCCACTGCTGACCCTGATGGGAGCTCATGCCTGGTGATGGTTCAGCACCAGGGACAGAGCCACAGGCTGCAGGAGCCACCTCAGCCCCAAGGGCCAGAGGCTGGACCTCCCACAGAGTCCCTCCAGCAGATATCCAGCAGGAGAGTGCCCCTGAGCCCGGCTTGGGAAAACGGAACCACCACTGCCTCCCCTTGGGACCCGGTGGGGGAGGAGTGTGGGTAAAAAGACCAGTGTTTTTAAACTAAAAAATAAAACCACAGGGGAAAAGAAACAAGTGTGCACAGATCCCATCACCCCCAGTTGGAGCTTCGGAGGGCTCCAGACAAACCGATGCCAGCCGCACCAACACCTGCCTCTAACTGCCTCTCCCGGGGGTCTTAGAGCCGGCAGCTGGCGTCGGCCCTGGGAGGAAATCCAACATTTTTAACAAACTCTCAAATCAGATGGTGTCTGTGGTGAGTAATTTCTTCCGTGTTTGGTCTTTAAGGCTAGAAACAGTGAGGGCACCTTTCAGGGTGGCTGTCGGGAAGGGTTGGGAATCAGGTGGTCCCACCACAAGTGTCATGAGAAGAGCTTCCGAGGTACGTGGCGTGTTCAAACGTCTTCTTTGTTGATCGTGACTTTGTACTCTGACTATAAGGCATTCTAGCATTTTTTCTTAATTATACCATATCCATTTCTTTAAGGGTAATTTTCCTCTCTTTTCTAAACATTTTTGTAAGTTTCTTTATAACAGATAAACTTTTGTTTGTTTGTTTGTTTTTGTTTTAAAGAGTACATGGGTCTATGGGCACTGGTGAAGCACACTGAGTAASAGCTGACCTGTGGACTAGACAGACTTCCTGTTCTCTTTCAAGAAAGGCACCTCTTCCCTTGTGTTCTCCTCAAGGCAGCCCCTTGGGCAGCCTGCTGAAGGAGGGCCTTCCTGGAGCAGCCAATTACCTGCCCCACCCAAACTCCCCAGAAGGGCTTCTGCTCAATACAGTGGCCAGGAGACTAACCTGCCAGAGTACGGCCAGAAGCTCAAGGAGGGTACCTTCAGGGAGGACCTTCTGGAGCTGCAGGGACAGCCGGCTAGAGGTCCTCAGAGTGAGGCCCGTGAGGCCCTGAATCCCAAATGAGGGAGAACACATAGAGGTTCTGCACCTTCCTCCGCAGTCAGCTTCCACGCAGGCTCAATGTCCCCTTCTACCCAGAGCAGCACTTCTCAGACCTGAAGTCATCGGGCCTCACAGGCAGTGGGCCCACCCATGGTCACAGAACCTCCTCAGCCCTGCTCTGGACCCCCTTGCTCACAAACTAAACCCAACCAAGACTCACGGCAACAGAAGTATCTGTGCCCAGGCCCGTCCCACTGCCTGGAGCATACACCCAGCCAAGTCCTGCGGGTCGCCAGTCCCCACACACACCTGGTGTCCTATGCATGATGTACTCCCCCTTCCTTCACCATTCCTACAACACTGTTCTAAAAGCCAGGGGCCCACAACAAGAATCCCTGGGAGCTAAGAGCTTCCACTTCAGAGGTGGAAGACCAGAAAATAAATGATCCTGAAAAACCATAGCTCGCCAGGTGATGACAAAACCTAAGGAGAGAACTAAGATAGTGGAGGGGACTACTGAATGCCAGTGGGTGGTGGCAGGGAGGCCTCACTGGAGAGGGGCGATTGAACAACGTCCAAAGGAGGGAGGATCTAGCCTCTGCATAGAAAACTGGAAGAAAAAGCACTCCTGGCAGAAGAAGCAGTGCAAAGGCCCTGAGGCAGGAATATGCAGGTGTGTTCTAGGAAAGGCACAGAGGCCAAGCAGGTTGGAGATGATCAGAGAGGTATGAGGACATCGATGAGGCCTTTCAGTCCATTGTGAGGATATAGGCTTTTACTGTGATCAAGACAGGAACCTGGACTGCTCTGGATGCTTATTAGAAAGACTCTTAAGGGCCAGGGGAAGACAGGCCAGATCAAAAGCCTCTACGATTGTCCCAGAGAGACTATGGCAGCTGAGGCCAGAGCTGGGCAGTGAACGTGAGGATGGGCAGTCAGAGTCTGAAGGTGGTCGACAGGCTTTGCTTGCAGGTTAGGGCATGGGGTATGGTGGAAAGAGCAGTTCTGCTGTTCAGGCCTGAAGGACTAGGAGGAGCTGCCATTCAGGAAGTGGTGAAGGCAGCAGGTGGCAGTTGAGGGTGGGAGTGGAAACCTCACCAGCCTTTAAGCCCTATAGGAAGGAGCACCTCCTCTACGTGCTGTCCCATACTTGACCCCAAAGGCCAGGTTCACACACCAGGCACGGCACCTGCCCAACACCGGCCCTCAGACTTTGCAAGGTCTCTCACAGCACAGCAGGGAGACTTCCTCTGCCTGTGGCCCCCCATGAACTCTCCACTTGGGGATGTGAGAAGCCCTACAGGAAGTAGCACCTCCTCTAGGTGCTCCCAGGCCTCTGGAGGCAGTTGAAAGCCCTCATGTCCTCCCAATGCTGGCCTCTCCCCACCTCTCGTGCACAACATCATGCACGAAAAGCATTTCTCTGCACCACAGCGATCTGCATCTGTAGTCATTCCTTGAGCAACCAAAGCTGATTGTCTTTATATATCATCTGAAAGCACCTGCACAGAGTAGGTGTTCAACAAGGACTTCTAGGAACACACGGCCTAGGATGCGCCTGCGCACAGTAGATGTCCAACAAGGACTTCTGGGAACACACGGCCTAGGATAGCGCCTGCACACAGTAGGTGTCCAACAAGGACTTCTAGAACTACACGGCCTAGGACTGCCTGTATAATGCTTCGATAGTCAAATAAATCAACGATAGTCTCTCAGAGAAGATCTTAAAATTCTGCTAGTGCTGATTAACTTTTCAGTGGTAATTATTCCATCTTAAGGTCTCTACATAGAGGCTGACCTGTCCCCAGATATTCAAATCGTCAAGGTAAGCTCTCCTGTGGAAAGGCCAGCTAGGAAGAAGGGAGTTACCTTGCCGGTCCTTATGTCCCACGCTTTGATTTCAGAGCTGAAGCCTCCACATAAAAAAATACTGTGGTCTTTTGGGTGAAATTTCAAGGTGGTGATTCTAAAGTCACTTTGACCACTAAATAGCTGAGTTCCTACAACACAAACAAAAGAGAGGGTTAGAAAATATTTAGATCTCAAAAATAAATATCTTAAAGCTAAAATACCGACTGGTAAGGAAGCTGCGCAAGAGGGCCACTCACCTGGACAAGCCCCTCATGACCAGGGGAGACCTGGAAACACGATGACAGCGGCACATCTGCTTTCATCCTCCGCCACCCCACTGTACCTGGCTGAGCTCTCCCCACACACAGGACCTGACAGGCTGGCAGTAAGTAAGAGTGGCCTTGAGGCAGCCAAGCCACAGAATGGACATGAGGTGTGAACCACTGGGGTCTCCCTAGTCCTATAGGACTCAAGACTGTCTGTTGAGTGCTGTGTGCAGGGCGGTAGTGTTTGTGTGCATGCAGGCACACATGTGGGGTAGAAAACAGCACTAGCACTATGATCATTTAGAGGTGTGCTATGTAGACTTCAGACATGCCAATAATTCAGGGTAGGTCAAAGCCAGGGCTCCCTCCATGACCGAGGGAGGCCTCCACATCCCAGAGCACTGTAATTCTCACCGGTCACACTTAATGCTTCTGAAACTGCATCAAGAACCAAGTCCAACATGGAAGGCATTCTCCCACAGCAGAGTCCGAGTGCTGTCCCGATACTTGACCCCAAGGGCCAGGTTCACACACCAGGCACRGCACCTGCCCAACACCGGCCCTCAGACTTTGCAAGGTCTCTCACAGCACAGCAGGGAGACTTCCTCTGCCTGTGGCCCCCCATGAACTCTCCACTTGGGGATGTGAGAAGCTGATGGCCAAGGAGGAGGATGCCGAGATCTCACATCATGCCCACCGTAGGCCCAGGAAGTAGTGTTTTTTCATTCGATTCAGAAAGCACTTCCTGAAGGTTGCCCGGCTTGGTGTGCTGGAACCCCACATACTTCCCTCCATCTTTAGCACAAAGGAGCTTATGAACATTTCACTTGTAAAGCTGCATTTTTCCCTTAAAAAAAATTTTAAAAAATGGCTCCTGCAATCAATCAGAAAGTATCAGAGCTACATTCTCCCATTTTTAACAAAAATTCACTGAAAAATTCAGCTCAAGAATCACTGAAATCTTCATTTAAAGAATTTTAAAACATAGCACATACCTGTAATCACAGAGGCTTGGGAGGTTAAAGCAGGAAGATCATGAGCTCAAGGCCAGCCTCAGCAATTTAATGAGACCCTGTCTCCAAATAAAATATTAAAAAAGGGCTGGGGACTTGGCTCGGTGGTTAAACACCCTGGGTTCAGTCTCCAGTAACAAAAAACAAAAACATATTTTAAAACAGATTAAAGAAACACTGAGCTCAGGTTAAGGCCATAGATATTAAGGTTTTTAACAGGTTATACTCTTAGACTGTTTTTGGCCAAAAAAATAATAATAATTTGAGAGAGAGAGAGAGCGAGAGAGAGAGAGAGAGAGAGAGAGAGAGAGAGAGAGAGAGAGAGAGAGAGAGAGAGAGAGAGAGAGAGAGAGAGAGATGGGGTGCAGAAACAATGGAAAAAATTGAAAACATCTGACTTCTGGGGCTGGCGTACATTGAGTGGTATATCATGTGCTTAGTATGCCTGAGGTCCTGGGTTCAATCACCAGTACCAAAGAAGTATTTGCTTTCAAGAAATTCTCTCCATGGTAAATGTTTTTGGAAGGCAGTATTCTCCTCCTTTGTTGGTGCGTCCTTACCTTGATGGATGACTAAATACACTGATTTTTAAAATATGCTCTAGGGGCCTACAATCAGCAGCTACTTGTCATCACAGAAAAGTTCAGAGATATTTGGAAAATCTCTCCATCTTTAAGCTCCACAAGCCCTAAACCATTTTACTACCAAGATGTAGTAGCACACAAGGTATCCATGGCCACCCGGTGCCGGTGCCGACAGCAGACTGACTCCAGGTCACTGCACACGCCTGGCTGTCCAGCCCCAGGGAGCAGCTGTGGCAGCACAAGCCTCTGCCTGAGAGCGCACTGCCCTGATGGGGAGAACCGCAGCAGCGATCTGCAGCAAGATGGCTAATGGTTGACACGGGTTCTTACATCTCAAGCCATGTGGCAAAGACAAGGAAAAGAGCAACCAAAATGAAATCCATTGTTCTGGGGTAGGAAGAGAATTTTGTAAATTGTATTTCTAACAGAATTCTTTAGAAAGTCACCCAGGAGCTGACTTCCAGGTGCCTTGGGGTTGTGTTTCTCCCTCATTAGGCCAGCAGCACCATGACCCTTGGGTCAATGTTTTAAAAATCACTTTTGGGGTGCTGGGGTCATGGCTCAGTGATAAAGTGCTTGCCTAGCATGCAAGAGGCACTGGACTCAATCCTCAGCAYCATATAAAAATAAAATAAAGATACTGTGTCTACCTATAACTAAAAAATATATTTTTTAAAAAATCACTTTTTGATGAATCGGTCTAATTGGCTTTTCTCAAATTTACTCTTCTTTTCCTTTCCTGAAACTTATCTGGAAGCCAAGCTCTTCCTTATCTGTTCAACTGCAGACAGCGATCAGAAACCARCCATGCTGCGCCCTGCTGGCAAATTCTCCCACCCATAAAAAAGGGGCAGAAGAGGGTCACTCCCTCAGCCTCCACTCCCGCTCAGGCTCTAGCTGAGTCCTGAGAAGCTTGCTCCAGCCAAGTGGATGGAGACAGTGGGAAGGCCTTGGGCGTGACCAAGGGCCAAGGACCCCCACATCCTCTCCATGGAAAAGGAGGGCAAGAGCCGCTGTGGCCCACACACCAGCCCAGGGTGGGGTGGGCCAGAAGCATCTCTCAGAGATAGCTGTGCCCATTGCCGGCCTGCTCAGCTGCAGCTCTCTGCCAGTCCTCAAATCTAAAAGGAAGGAAGCTCTACTTGCCTGAAGGTGAGGATGCTTCCCCGCTTCCTGGACTGCCACAGAAAGCCATATGCTGGGTTTTAGAAATGGCAGTGAATTATCCATATGTTCTTTCAAAAAGTGCAACAACACAGCCTCGTCAACAATGAGGAAGAAAGAAGAAAACTGAGTTGCTAAAAGATGATGGTTGATGTTGGGGCTCAGGGACAGAGCACTCGCCTGGCATTTGTGAGGTACTGGGTTTGATCCTCAGCACCACATAAAAAATAAATAAAATCAAGTTACTGTGTCCATCTACAACTAAAAAATTAAGTAAATATTAAAAGATGATGGTTGAAGTTTTCCTGCCTCCTCAAAAAAAAAAAAAAAAAACAACCTTGCATTCATGAATGCTATTTTTCCTCAATGCACAAGGAGATTGAGAATCTGCCTTTTAAGTACAAAAATGGTTCCTTCAGAAGACAAGCTATGGTGTATATTTTTCCTACTTTTAATAACTAGGTCTTTGAAAGATTTTTCAACTTTTGAATAAGCTTCCAGACATCTCATGGAAAACAGTAGGGGGAAAGTCTATTAAATAAAAGAGGCCTCAAAACACTTGGGTTCAGAAACAGGGACCAAGGTGACCCTGACCTGGCCCCATACTTGTTTTTCCACACCAGGGATGGAGCCCAGTATGTTTGCCACTGAGCTACATCTCATGTCCTTTCTAAAGATTTTTTATTCTGAGACAGTATCTCACTAAGTTGCTGAGGCTGGCCTCAACTCGCATTCCTGCCTTGGCCTCCCGAGTTACTGGGATTACAGGCTGTGCTACCACGTCCACGTGGGCACAATGTTTGAAGCGGGAGGAGGCATAAGCGAGGAGCTGGCACAAACCAGCTCCATCACTTCCAGCGGAGGGACCTTGGGCTGGTTCCTCTGTCTCGGTGCTCAACTGTCGTGAGGATTAAAAGCTAAGTGGTCCATAAGGCACTCTATGGAGCAAGCATCAAAAGGGAGCTATGATAGCTTGAAAAATCAAACCCCAACCTGCTGGATTCATCCTTGGTTAAATTAAAAGCTAAAACCAAAAACTACTGGCTTTTAACAGCAGGAACATTGAGAGATTAATGATTGTTGAGCTTTGTCGTGAGGCTCTGAGAATGATGCCCTGGGCTGGCCTCTGCATGTGCTGAAGGGACAGGGTGGCTGGAGGACGCGCCAGCTGAACACCTTGACTATTAACAGCAGATATGCCCGTGGCCAAGGGCGTTCTAAGGTTTGCTGCCTCCCTTCCACAGGACAGCACTGTTACCAGCTCCTCTGGGCCAGGCTTCCTGAAACCCCTGGTTAGTTGTTATTAAACCTTTAACCTGTATGTGTGTCTACTATTTTAAAAATTCTATTTCTTCAATGTATGCTTATTATAGGAAACTAAGCTCTAAAATATTTAATCCACTGGCACTGGCTTTATTGATCTGATTAGACTGAGCTCAACTAGTATAAAAATTGCTCAGATTTTATTAAGCTAAGAAAAATTACTTCTTTTCCTCTCTTAATCAATAATGATACAAATAAAGAATAAATTATCAGGCTAGGGGTGTGGCTCAGCAGTAGAGCACTTGCCTAGTGTGGGCGAGGCCCAAGTTCAAACCCCAGCACCTAAATAAATAAATAATCATTGAAGCAAAAGCACATTTAAAACAGCACAGAAACTCAAGTCAGCTTCCAGGCTCCAGTGTCACTGTCATGGGGCCCCGCGGTACTGGACCCTGGGCTCCTCGCACTGCCTCTCTCCCTTTCTCAGGGGCAGGCACTGAGCTCCCCCAGGTGACCACCCTATGGCTGKGGCAACACCACCTGTCTGCTCTCATGCCGGCCCTGGGGGACCCTATGGTCACAATGTTTGACCCTCCTAGCTCAGGTCCTGGCACTTAACTGGTATTTAGGGTCAAATGAAATCCCCGGGAAGAGAGGGGACATCCATACCCTCCCTCCAATGTCCCCAAGGAAGAGAGGGGACATCCATGTCCTCCCTCCAGGGAGCTCACTTTGACCAAGGAGGAGATGATCGATGTTAATGACAAGCCCATTACCTCCAGGCCTGTCTGGGGTGTGCACTTATCACACCTCAACCCCAGCTGGCTCAGCAAGGTGAGACACTATGAAACCCTGTGAC